GTGCATTTGCTGTTATGTTAAACTTATATTAAAGTTTTTCTTCATTACCCATTCAAGCCGTCTCCAGCCATTATTAGTCTCAAAGTGGGTTCCTCGTCATCGAATTTGAAAATGTGTATGTATCTCTCTATGGACCCAACAAATCTTCATGCCAAATTTGGTGAAGGTTCATCAACAGGGAGCGAAGTAGTGGTAAAAAGGACGAAAACGCAAAACTGAAAATTTATATGGACCTAATGAACCTCCATACCAATTTTGGTAAAAATCCATCCACACCCTGCAAAGTAGTTACATGAACATACAACAAACAGTACTATTGTACTGTTACGATAGCGGAGGTCACGTGACTCTAGTAACACGCCACGCTCTTCTAGAACGTTCATGAAGCGTCAGGAGACTACTAGATATGGGATAGTCTTGTATATATAAGACCGGCCAAGAAGCGACGGGAACAATGTGTAATTGAACTGCGGACAGAGTATTGTTGAGTTGAGCACGTGAGACGTTCGTTGTGAATTAAGAGTTTGTTATAGCGCGACTGTGGAAATGAAGTGTATTGCAAAGTTGGGTTCAGAAAGAATAAACCAGTTTTATTTAAGAAAGGACTTGTGTCGCTAAAGTTTCGTCGGAACGAAATTTACGGAAAATTAAATTACGAAAGCAGACGTAACAGTATTAATATAGATCTCATAGGATTTGTGCTTTGGCATTTACAACCAGTATTAACAATAAATTAATAACGTAATCACTGACGTAAATACAAAGCAATGCACGTGATTGTTTAATTGTTTATCTTGTTTGTAAATCTCGAGATAAGTACACAGGAATTGTATTGTGCGGCGTATTAACAGTAACAAGATATAAACCCATGTGAGATAGGAAGAAAACTATTTGTATATGTTATATACAATCAGACAGCTTAACCGAAGAATAACTAATTATTGTACTTCTTCTTTGGTAAAATTTACTCAAGTTAAGTTATTTGGCTGTGCTCAAATTTCAAATTAAATTCAACACTTTTAGGTCAGGTGTTGCGTCTTTAGAATGCGGTCTGTTGTACTTTTACTTTTATTGACATTGATTTCTCAAAAGAGTCAAAGTGCGGTAGGACTAAGACAAGTAGGAGATAAAGCTGGTTTTAGTAGAGAGGTAAGTGTGTAACTATAAAGGTAAGGATAATGTATATATATACATAATTGATAACGGAATAAGTGCCAAGTATATAATTTTTCAGACAAATACTTTATAAAGTGCAAACGAAAAATTCACCTCAAATGTTTCTTACAAAGTTGTGTGTCGTATTTGCGTTTGTAAATTGATTAGCTGTTAGTGTTTGACAGTGGGCGTGAAGACCAAAGCACGAAAACGTTGAAATTACAAACAAGTGATCAATGTTTGTTGTCGTAGGCCGTAGGGGAAGAAATGCCATAATTTCTATTTCATTCCAGTGTAATATAACATAAAACATGCATATCTTGTTAACTGAATACCTTATGAAACAGCCAATTAATTTATTAAGATTTCTACCATAAATTCAATTAAAATATATATACACACACACATATATGTATGTATGTTTGTATGGTCGTTGTATGTTGTTTTTCCCAAATAAATTTTTACTTTTATTTGGTATTCAACTCAAAATTTGCTAATTTCTTGCACCTTTGATTAGGCCTCAGTACACAACCTGTTGCGCATAATCTTAAAATAGGTAAAGATAAATTTTTATTTTATTATTGTTTTCTAGAGTTCACTTTTATTAACGAACTCCACCATTCTACTGTACGATAGTTTTTACACTATGTTCGTGAACATAGTGATTTTAGAACTGGTACCCGAAGGTTGTGTATGTAGTCATTTTAGAATTGACATCTATCTGGTAGTGATGAATACAGACACTTCCACCTAAACATCACTCTGTTCATTGGGCTTCAGTGGAAAAAATATATAATTTGCAAATATTTAAAATTCAATTTTAGAATAATTATTTTTAAAAATATTTAAAACTTGGTTATATAAAGTAAAGCATTAAATTAAAAAAAAAGGTTTGTTTATAAAGAAGTTGTGTGTTTAATTACACTGGGAAGTAAGAGCAATGATGAATGCACATGCTCATTTGTAATCTCACTGTTTTCATCCTGCAGGCCCAGTGTCAACATAGATGACCAATACAAATGCAAAATTTATTATATTTGTTAAATAGACAAGAGTACAATAAAAAAAAAAGTGATTTCAGTTATGACTATGAATGAATATCACATTGCTATTCATGTTTAACTTGAATGTGGTATTAATTCTAATGTGCTGATAGTATGAAAACCTAGCATATAGACAATAATGGACCATTTCTTCCTTCATGGTCTTCAAGGCTGTCCTTGCAAACCCACCAAATGAGGAAAAAAATGGAACCCATTTTTCTGGAAATCATCCATTTCACTCTTAATCTCTTGTAAAGCACTGACTTTCACAAGTGGCAAGGGCAACTCTCTCTGTAAGTCAACTACTCAGTTAGAAAACTAACTGGAATCTAAGTTGTCTTCTTCAAACTTTAAACTTGTGCCCTCTCATCCTATTATCTTAAAAGTAAAGCACAGATAAATTAGATGCCATTATCCTGCTGGTCATCTAGATAATCTTGTAAAATTCAATAAGATCACCTCTTACCTTTCTTTTCTGTAAGATAACTCATCCTTGTAGCCCTCTTCTGAACCACTTCCCATAAGTTAATATCCTTTCTTGGATAAAGAAATCAAAACTGTACACAGCATTCCAAATGAGGCCTAACTAGTAGTTTATTTAGAAATTTTTACCCCTTTTGACTTGTATTTGGTATGCCTATAAGTATACCCTAAAATTCTATTAGCTTTAGTATTTAGTATTAGCAACTGAGCACTGCTTGAATGGCTTGAGTAATTTATCCAACACATTGTCAAGATCCTTTGTTTCAATCATGTTATTGAGTGGGTTTTTATTTATATTACACTCACCAAGGGTTAAACAACACCCACACATCTCAGCACTATCATGCACTGACACTAGAAATTAGTGAATGAGCCTTTACCCATATGTCGTCAAAACATTTGCTTTGCATGTAGTGTGTTGAGTGAACTGCCATGCCTTGCTAAGCAGCAAGGAAGGCAAGGCTATTGATTTTGATTAACAACTCAACAAGTACAGGAGGATTGAAAGCAAACAGTAAACACTGTTACTACAGCTCTAGAAAACCAACATAACCCTATTCAGACATGGTCACTGGCTTGGAAGGCCCCAGTAGATGGTGAGAGATTTGGTGGTCAGCCCAGCTAGCTCAGGACAGGGTGGATTTTGGTACATGCCAGTCAGAGTACAATGGCAAGAGATGGAGTTCCTGATTGATACAGAGCAGCCAGAACATTGGTAGATCTCATGATATATTAGGCCCTCCAAACAAAACCGCCAGTCAACACAAACTTTTTTCTGGGAAATGTAGACAAATAAGACCTGAATGGAGAGGCAAATATCCTACTATGTTTAGGAGGCATTGCTCACAGAATAAAGATAGTCATTGTTGACTTTGGTTCTAGCTTTGGCATCCTTGGGACTGATGTTCCATGGGAGGGTTATCTAATGTTGGCCAGACAAGGCCTAGGAGTTAGACATCATGAGAGTATGAAGGAGAGGCAGTCACAGTATTCTTATGTATACAAAATGGCACTCTGTGGTTTACTAAGGATGAAGTCAGGGCCCAGTCTTAGGATCTTTGCTGTTTTTGATCTACATCAATGACATAGATGAAGGGGTAGTCAATAAATTACTTAAATTTGCAGATGATATTAAGGTCTTGGATGTTGCT